TGTGGGTGCATGTCCCTGAGCTCACACTGTCTGAGTTTGGGGCCATACACCTACACCTGCATGGATGTCAGATCTGTTCTTACAGCCGCTGCATCCCAATTGTCATGAATGGGATTGCCCGCACATGGATGCATGGAGCACCTATGTGGGTAAACACGGCCCTCCATACAGCCTTCAATGGGCATACGCTTTATAACACCCCATATAAATGAGGCATTAGTAGAAAGTTAGCAGGAATTTTGAAAGTTATGTTGTGTTTATGATGCTAATAAGGGTTTTAGTGTCTTTTGATTTAAAACAGGAATTTTGTAAAATTTGCTGTTTGCACCTGCTACTAATGATTTTAGTGTATTTTTAGCAAAAATATTGTTTAGATAAACATTTGTGAAAATATCATGGGGCCCTAAAAACCAGTAGCACCTTCTTTTTATTATACTGGTCATGTGCTTTCGGAAAATGTATGGTTTAAGGGGTCTTCTACAAACTCTGAAAGCTGTATGTGAAAAATGAAAACCTCCAGATTTATATAGAAATATATATATACGATTTCCACTATTTCAAAAAAAGGTGCAATTTAAAATGTACAAATACTTGTTATTTATTAACTCAATACAGGTTAAACTTTTATATTTAGAAGAAATTTAGCAGAAGGTTTTGTAAAATGTGCTGTGTTTGTATCTGCCATTAGTGATTTTAGTGTACGTTTAGCAAAAATATTGCGCAATTATTACAGGGACTTAAAAATGAATAGCACCTTCTTTGTATTCTACTGATCGCGTACTTTCAGAAAATATTTGGTTTGGGGGGTCTTTTACAAACTCTGAAAGCTGTAAGCGAAAAATTAAAACCTCCAGATTTTTAGAGAAATTTAGTTATTTACAGTTTTGCGGATGTTTTGCGGATGTTTGATTTTCACCATTTCGCAAAAAGGCGCAATTTAAAATTTCCAAATATTTGTTATTTAACTCAATACAGTTAAGCTTTTATATTCAGTAGGAATTGAGTAAAATCTGCTGTGTTTGTATCTGCTAATAATGAATTTAGTATATATAAAAAGGCGCAAATATCATGGGGGGGGGGGGGCATAAAAATCAGTAGTGCCTTCTTTATTTTACTGGTCATGTGCTTTCAGAAAATATATGGTTTAGCGCCAGTGTGTCAAACTGGCAGCCCTCCAGCTGTTGCAAAACTACAAGTTCCATCATGCCTCTGCCTTTGGGAGTCATGCTAGTAATTGTCAATCTTGCAATGCCTCATGGGGTTTGTAGTTTGGCAACAGCTGGACGGCCGCAAGTTTAGCATCCGTGGTTTAGGGGTACTTTTACAAACTCTGAAATCTGTAAGGGAAAAATAAAAAAAGCAATGGAAAAATTTAAAAAATGATCCTGCCAGCTGAGTTTTCTTATCTTATCTTAGACTTATCTAATCACATGCAGCTGCACAGATTACAGTGACCACAACTAACTTTAATTAACACAACAATTACAGCCAAACTGGTTACAGTGAGTCAAGCACAAACAAAAATACAGCTCCACTGAACACAGTGAGCCAGCCCTAGATTTAACTAATCCTAGCACCTATTTAGGAGGGTGCTACATTCCTATAAAATAAATGGTGCTTTGGACAATGCACTAAGCTGGTGCACCCTTTCTATTTGCAAGGCATAGTGAGCACTGGACAACCATCAGAGACTAGGAGCATGCAAAGTTTTGTCATGTCCACCACATCTCCCTTGAGCTCTGTAGAGTGTTTCTGTTTGGTTCTTCCATATTAATTATAACTACCTGTGAGACTGCTTCTGAGGTGACAAGAATGCAGCTGCCTTCCATCACTCGGTGGGTCAATCGCTTCACAGGGTGTCCCAGTATGGAGTACTGAACGATATTATTCACTGAAAGTCAGTCAACATGTAATGTCTGCTTGATGAGACTGGTATAACATAGTTTCCATCTGCAAGGCATAAGCACAATATATATGCTTATATATGCACAAAGAATGTGGGGAGTTGAAAAGCTTCCTTTTGTGCAAAGGAGCTTTCTAAAGTAAAGAAATTCATAAGGCATTTGTAAAGAACGTTGAGAGGCATTCTCTGAGCAAAAGCATGGATAAGGCTAGTTGGATATCTTTTGTTTAATCATATCTGATCAAGTAATGTATATCAAACTCAAGAACAAAAATGTAATATTTTGCAGCTTACCAGTCCTTTGATGTGGTGACTGCATTAGTTCATTTTTAAGGCTTTTTTTTCCCACCCTGAACTGGGTGATACTGCCGGTAAAGCACTTCCTGTTCTAGTGTGACACCATACTATATCCATAGAGGAGCGGCCTTGACATCCTAGAACAGGAAGTGTGTTAGCACTGCAGAACACCTCCCCTCTCCTTACCTCCATTGCATAGAGGGGAGTTATTTTTTAGCTCACCAAGGTAAACTGGACAGGGCTGATAAGACTGCTTTAGATAACATTGCAGCGAGCACAGGGTTTAGGACAGCACTATCAAAAGTAAGGTAGGCCATAGATGGTGCAAATTTCTTTCTTGCAACTACAGGTTGCTGGGCCACTGAGTTCTCTCAGTGGGGGGGGGCAGCAGGGTAGAAGATGGTGATTACTGCTAGCGATAACAACCGGTAGCAATAATTGCATATAAAATCAGGTAGGCTGGTTGTACCCAAGTTGATCAATCAATCACATGGGTACATTCAGCCTGTCCATACATGGTTCAAATCGCAGCCGCTTCCTGCTGAACCAGCCAAGATTTTAACTGTCTATGGCTGTCTTATGACTCCAGTATTCTAGAAAATGAAACAACGAACCTAAATCTGTTTGCTGGGACTTACTAATCTTTTACATCATTGTTCTTTGTTCTGTTTTAAGGACTAACCTATAAATGCATTGTAATCATGCACCTATAGTAGTTATATTTTGGTAAATCCAGCCTATTTCCATTTTGTATTTGTACAGGAATATTTATGTTAATGAACAAATCCCCTATTCAACTTTGGAAGAGTTGCACAAAACTTAGATGAAAATCAGTGAAGGGTTTTGTAAATGAATTCTTTCAGTGCTGTAAGAAAGCAAACAAACAAGACACAGAAATGAATCAGAAAAAGAGAGCAGTGCCTGGATAGGTACTGCCAGGGGTAAAAACTGGAGTTCACAACAACACAAGGCAAGAGCAAGCATCCGAGGAACTTCAAAAAGCAAGAGAAAAGAGAAAAATTTACTAAGGGAGAAAAAGATTACAAACATGTAGCGGACAAAAACATACAATTAGTGTCAGCTTCTCAGCAGGACTCCTCGTCATGTCACACTCTGTCATTTTATATTCATATGACTCATCATCTAGAATGGCTATAACAAGTCCTTGAAAGAGGACCTAAAAGAGGTCTTAATATTGCTTTGACTAACAAAATGAGGTTAACCAAATCAAGCACAAAATCTACAAGGCAAAGAACGTAATTCCCCTGCACAGATGTTCAGATGGTTACAGAAACCAGTTGTTCATTCAGGAACAGGAATAATTATTACAAATATGTACAACTAGTATGACAAAGTTCAGTTATTACTGAAATCAGAAATCTCAGCTAGGAGAAATGGGGTACACAATTTTTGTGACTTTATAGAGTATCTTCCAAAAATTCTTGATCTAATAAAAAAATATTAGTTAAAGTATAATTTAAGGCAAAACATTTTTGGGTTTTGGATAGAATGGAGAGGGATTGGAACATCCAGCAAAGTTTTTATTATTGTCTGTGCCCCTTTATTGATCTTCACTTCCTTTATATATGTTTACAATGTAGTGTTATCATCACTGAAAGTGAAAGTAACAGAAAAATCCACATTTTGGATTGTCCCCAGAACAGTTACAGGGGGGAATCTTCCAAAGGAGATGCTGTTTCTGGTAACCCTGCTGACAACCATAGATTTCCTAAAACTCACAAATGATTTACTAACAGCTAAAACCAATAGACACTTTTCTGTACTCCTACTTCTGGACCTTTCGGCTGCCTTTGATATGGTTGACCACAGCCTCCTCCCCAAAAAACTTTACTTCTTTGGTCTCTGTGACTGTGGTCTTCATTGGTTCTCATCCTACCTATCCCACCACACCGTCAGTTTTGCTTACATACTCCTCTCCTCTTCCTTTCTCCATCGAGATCCCCAAAGGTTCTTTTCTTGGACCTCTCATATTCTCGATCTATACCTCCTTCCTGGTTCAGTTGATCCATTGCCTCCCACGGCTTTCAATATAATTTCTATGCTGATGACACCCAAATCTATCTCTCTACCCCTCAGCTCACAACATCAGTCTCCTCACGCATCACTAACTTACTGACCAACATATCAGTCTGGATGTCACACCACTTCCTCAAACTCAGTCTATCCAAAACTGAGCTCTTAATATTTGCCTTTAGTTCTACTTTATTTTGGAAAGAAAACCTAAGGGATTCTTCATGTTTTTGTGTACAGACCCCAAATTGCTCAATATGTCCCCATATGATTCTACTGTAAGGACTGTAAAACATGGAATAGACTTCCACAGGAACTAGCTCTAGCAAGTATAACGGATTGCTTTATCTGGCTCCCTACTGCTGTATTGCAATAAAAAAAAAAACTGTGTGGAGGTGGATGTCTATTAACCTCCATATCAGTCTGATTATGTCCATATTTCTGTGCTCAAAGTGGTAAATTTTTTTGCATGGAAATATGTATTTTTTTTATTGTAGACCTGTAATTTTTAGGAATAACTCACTGAAATCTGTCCGAACAAGTCTAGTAAACATCCCGGGTATGTTAAAATTTGAAACACAAAATCATAAATTATAATTTAATAAATAATCATAAAAAATAATATAATAATAATAAATGTAATTCAATAATATAATCAAACCAAAAACACTGAAATATGAAATATAGCGCTAGGTTTGCACATCAATGAGCAAAGTCGCAAAATCGTTTTCAGTGTCTGATGACGAATTTCCCCACAAATCATTATCACTCAATTCTGCAAGTGGTTCTAATTTACTATCGCTGTTCTCTAGCTGGTTTAAAACTTATTTTGACCTAAAGGGACGTTTTTTTTGGACGCCATGGACGTTTCTCAGTTTCCAGGCAGAAAGAACAGTAAAAATGCAGGCAGGGCACAGGACAAAGCACTAGGAACAAAATGTATGGGAAATGGTTTCATACAGTAATGTTTTTACTATGTGGTTTTAGTGAATTTAGTGAATGTCACTTTTTGTCATTTTCAAATTTCCCTCTGTTCCGTCCCTCGTACGTCCCGACGTTGCAGGGGATGAAACCCAGAAGACAGATGCTGGCATCCGCCGGAGGACATTGCAGGGGACACTGCAGGAGGGACATTGTGGGAGTGCAGGACAAGGTAAGAGAAGAAAAAAATCCCGGAGCAGCACCGCATGGTAAGCCCGAGTGTAGCTCGGGGTTACCGATTGTGGTACTGAAACTTTACCCCGAGCTACACTTGGGAATACCGCCAGGGAGGTTAATGGTTGTGAACAGACACAGTGTACAGAGCCAATCAGAGCAGCTCTGTATCATGTGATGACCTATCATGGCAATCACAAATGTAAAAATATGTACTGTTCATCTTATAGACCCTTTCATAAATTTTTATTTTGTTAATCGACCACCAAACATTTCATATATGAAAATGAAAAGTTGTATTGAACGTTTCGTGAAATGATTACTGGGTGTTTTTAATAATTGGGCACATACTGTAGGTATTATTTATTTGGTAAACAAAGCTATGAATACAAATTTTAAATATTCTTGTTATCACTATTGACATTTGATATCAGCAACTGCCATTGTGATTAATAAAGGTGAAGGAGTATATGCAGTAATGGAGGTGAACATGTTTATACATGTAGTCACAAACATGGCTGCAAGAGCAAGCTGTAACACTGTCTGCAACACATTTGAGCTGTGACCAAACAGACATGCTGGACTTCAGTACACTGTTGCCTCCCATTAGAGAGACAAGTCAACTGTGCCTCATAGACTTTGAAGCTTATCGAAATGGAGTGTGGGAATTGAAGTCTAGGAAGGGAGAGTTATTGTGGACTTCCATTACTCAAAGGACTACAGCTCCCAGGGGTGGCCAGGACAGGAGAGGAGAAAAGAGCATTATCTTCTCAGGCTGCTGTTTGAATAGCATGGTCTTTCTGCTGGCGGAATTCAAAGTGAGACATCCTCTGTCCTGACTTGGTATTAGCTAGAGCAAAGGCCACGGGCTTACAGCTGGGAGATGAGAGAGAGAACTGGAGAACATAGCAACTGGGACTGTGTCATTAATGGAGGAAGCCCCATGCTGCACTAATGCTAGAACTGTACTGCTGGATAACCAGAGGACCCCCTACATGTTGTGGGGCTTCCATGGCTGTATCGCTGGACTGGTGAGAGGACCTAATGGCCACAGCCTGCTGTCTTTATTGTAAACTATGTTTAAAAGAACTAGGCTCTTACCCAATATCTTACAATACTGCATGAAAACTCCCATGGGGACTATGCTTATGAGCACCAATGGCGAGTTGTGCACCAACAGCAGGATGTGCAGCAACGCTAACTGGATGAAGTATAGGGTATAGGACTGTCCGTCTGGATAAGTCACTGTACAAGGGCTCCTAGTATTGCCTGTGGGAGTAGGAATAATTCTGCAGTAGACCTGGGCTATAGTCTAACCCCCTCTAGAGTGCACCACATTTATAAATTTACCACTCACATTGCAGTTGATGCCTAAATGCACTATTTTATTGCTGAATTTGTTGATTTTTCAGTTTAGTGGTAAAGAACTCTATTCAAGTTACCTTGGCATAGTATTTACCTTGTCTAGCAGACTGTGTATGAATCTGTCTGCTGTGTAGTCATCATTTATCCTAAACTGCACCAGTGCATTGAATTCATTTACTACTAAATGGTCTTGGATCTATTTCCTGATATTAGTTCACCATAAAGGTAAAGGTTTATATGCTCATGTTATTATAAGTGCTTGCAGTGACTTTCATCCAACCAGGTGTGTCAGAGGACTGATGTTGTTCTTGGGGTCGAGGCACAGAACAGAGAGTCAAAATTACTAAGCGGCTCATTCGGGAGTAGTGCAAGATGCAGTATATCTTGTGTGGGGGAGGAAATGGAAGATCACAGGCACATAACACAAAGGACAATGGTAAATTAAACCAGTAACAACAAACAGCTTATAAAGAAAACTCAAGGCCTCTCTTGCTGGTGGCTGATCATCCAACACTAGGTAACATGCTATTTCACTGTTAGCCACCTTACATTCAGGACCAGGGACTGACAAGGAGCTTTACAGAAACTTTAAAGAATTATTTAATGATTGAGCTTTCATCATTTAATGACTACCTGTCAGGGCTGGTCTCTTGCTACTTAACGGGCGGGATTTTTCTTTCAGTGCTCAGAAGCTGCTCAGCTGTTGGTTAATTACCAGCCCTTTGTTGTCTCCACAGTGACTCACCTGGATACCATTACCTGCCTCATTACTTCAGCCTATAGCCAGCCCTTTTTGCTATTTTAGCAGCTTAGCTCGTTTCCTCCTTGCCTTTGCGTGGTCTATGGTCTCCAGTGTGTTCCTGCCTGTGTTCCTGTGTAGAACTCAATCTAGCTGACTTCTCTTCTGATTCCTGTTCCTAATTTTTGCTCCTGACTACGCTGACTTCTGGTTTTCTGACCCTGGCATCATTCTTCTAGACTGTATCTCTTAGCCTGAGCACAATCAGTTGACTGGACACAACACCTTTGCTGCAAGTGACATGTCACTTTACTGTACTTATAGTTCTACTTCAGGATCTAACTGTGGATACAATTTATGTTAGTTAATACTTGAAAAAAGTAAGTTTTTCCTACTCCTCTAAAGTGACTGCTTGAAAATAAGTCAATGTGTTATATTCTTGAAAAATGTCTTTGACCTAAGGTTAAAAGTTATGCACGCATTTGATATTTTTAAACCTCTAAAGCTATTATTATATGCTGTAAATAAGGCAGTGAATAGAGCTAGACAGAGCCTCAGAGATCCACTTAAAAATGGTGCGTCATACCTGAACAGTTGCCTGGCAACTGTAGCATAAAACATATTTCTTAATCTGCGTTAGTGAGTCTGATTTTGGTCACGTCAAGATATAAAAAAACAGTTTATATCACATATTACAGTGAGAACTATGAGCTGCTGCTGTGATAAGATAGTCTCTCATTGTTTTATTTTGATATGAGGTATCATTGTCATAAACACATGTAACCTTAGCGCTAGATCTAGATATGGACTTCCATGAAACTGGAGTAGGTATAATTTCCACTGGAGAAGTTTCCTGAAGAGTGATGACATTTGTGTTTTTTGTAAGGTACCATCTTTAAAATGAAATGTATGATTTTTAAAAATTGGGGAAAAAAGCAGTGTCTCTAGAAACATCACATTTGTTTCTATATTTGTAAAGTGCTAGACTTTGAGCCGTATTCAATAAAATATCAGCATTTATCTCATTCCTAAAATACTGTCATTTTAGGAGACAGGATACATTAATATTAATTTACATTTTTTATTTGACACATCTTCTGAAACCGAAATCACTTTAAAGAATTTTATTCTTTGTTAAAGATGATTTACTTTAAGGAATTAGCACTCCTCGGAATTCAATAAAGCAGTGAAATAAAAAGACTAACACTGTTTCTTTTCCTAATGTATTGGGTGTTAATACTTATTTAAAACTGCAAATTGTGTTTGTCAACCAACCAGTCTGTAGTGAGTGCAAAGAAAGGGGATTTTCTTTGTAATGGAATTATGTGTAAGGAAAACACATAATTCCATTACAAAGGGCAAAGACCATGGTCAGTAGAATAGGAGGTTATTTATTAAAACTGCAGAGTCTAAAAATTGTTGCTGTTCTGCATAGAAACCAATCAGCTTCCAGGTTTTATTGCCAAAGCTTAATTGAACAAGCTGAAGTTAAAAGCTGATTGGCTACCATGCACAGCTGCACCAGATTCTGAGTGCACCAGTTTTAGCAAATCTCCTCCTATGAGTTATTAGCATATTCCAATATCTTTACTAACTTTTTTTGAAGTGTTTGCAAGTCAAAGCTTTTTTGTTAGTCTTGGATAGAGAGAGGAAGGGTTAGAATCCCTGTCAGGTAGAGGCAGTTTTTAATCAGGCAAATTAGGCAGTTGCCTAAGACCTCATGCTTATAGGGGCCTCGCGGCCACTTAATTTGCCTAACGCAGTGTTTCTCAGTCGGGGGTTTCTACCAGTCAGTCGCAGGCAGCTGACAGGTAGATTGCCTAGACACACATGTAGGGAAGGGGCAGGCATACTATTGGCTGTAGAGAGCTCCTCCCTTCCTGTCCATACAAGCATGACATCATCTGGAATGAACAGGATAGGAAGAGGGGAGGAGGGGCCGGTGGGAAACAGCATACCACTGGAGGATTGCTGAAAGCTGCCTCTGAAGCTGGGTAGAAGAAGAAGGAAGCCGGCACAGTGGTATGCCCAGCTGTGTCCCCTACACTGTGTCTAACAGTATGTCCCATGCCATGGGCCCTGTCACATGTAATGTGCCCTATGCTCTGTCCTATATAATGTGCCCTGTACCCTGTTCCATGTAATGTGCCCTGCCTGATGTAATGTGCCCTGTTTCACGTGATGTTCCCTGTAATATGCTCTGTACCCTGTCCCATGTAATGTGCCCTGTGCCCTATCCCATGTAATGTGCCCTGTGCTCTGTCCCATGGTATGTGCCCTGTGCTCTGTCCCATATAATATGCCATGTCCCATGCTATGTGCCCTGTGCTCTGTCCCATGTAATGTACCCTGTCACATGTAATGTGCCCTGCCTCCATGTAATGTGCCCTGTACTCTGCCCCATGGTATGTACCCTGTGCTTTGTCCCATATAATGTAATGTGTGCCCTGTGCTCTGTTCCATGTAATGTGCCTTGTGCTCTGTCCCATGGTATGTGCCCTGTGCTCTGTCCCATATAATGTAATGTAATGTAATGTGCCCTGTACCCTGTTCCATGTGATGTGCCCTGTCCCATATAATGTGCTCTCTCCCATGTAATGTGCTTTGTGCCCTGTCCCATGCTTTGTGCTCTTTCCTATGTAATGTGCTTTGTGCCCTGTCCCATGTAGTGTGCCCTGACTCATGTAATATGCCCTGTCCCAAATAATGTGTTCTGTCCCATGTAATGTGCCCTGTGCTCTGTTCCATGTATTGTGCTCTGTGCTTTGTACCATGTAGTGTGCCCTGTCCCATGTAATGTGCCCTGTGCTCTGTCCCATGCTATGTGCCCTGTGCTCTGTCCCATGTAATGTGCCCTGTGCTCTGTCCCATGT